CGATCATGGAACTTTAGTTTCAGTACACAATATTTCCGATACTAATTTGGCATTTGAGACGTGGCATTCTGGTTTTTTTTCGCATGCGCCTTTTGTTTGTAGACGTGTGAAAAAAATAAGACAACCGGTTGGCTGAATATTATATCACTTAAAATTATAGAAGGAGGTAATTTTCGAAGGTTTGCGCGTATTTTGGGTAATATTACTGTTCTAAACCAATATAGAGCCAAACGTAATTTGGTAGTTAATTTAATGTAGACCGCTGAGAAAAATGTTATGTTCATCTTATCGAAGTCAATAAATCAAACAGTGCTGGCCACCATGTGAAAAACGAATTGATCGTTTATGTTTCAGTTGGCCATGGCTTTAGTAATTTTAATACACTTCCGCATCAGTTGTTTCAATGGGATTCATATTTTCCGTGAGTAGCCAACTGTTCGCACTCTGAACTGGCCTTGACAATATGTCATCTAGATTTTGTGTATTTCTGCTCTTTTCATTTGTGTATTTCTAATTTATTCATTTAACTCAACCTCAGTATTCGACCACGAATTTTCCCGGACATGTTTAAGCATGCAAAAATCATTTCATTACACAAGACTGGATCCTATTTCGTTACATTTATTGATCTTTAAAATCTTTGAAAAACAGGCGCATGATCACTTATACCATTTTTTGAATTGTTATAATTTAATTTCTATATCGCCGTCAGGTTTTCGGAAATCCCATTCCGAAATCCCACAGCTATGATTAAGCTATGTGATGCATTACTTTATTGAGCCGTTTGCTTTTTCTTGAATTAAGCAAGGCGTTTTATATGGTAGATTAACACTTGTTATTGAATAAGCATTTTCCAATTTCTTATTTGTCTGCCAGAAAGAAAATTGCATTGTTGATGAGTGAACAGTCCGCATTTCAAGTTTAGGACGATATTATTTCTTTATTCATCAATAACCTTTTAATTGATATGTATTCTGACGATCAAACTCTGTTATCATCTGGACCAAGTGTCAATGTAGTATCAATATGTATTAATGATGATGTTTGCGTTCGGTCAATCTAAATCAAAATCCATGCTGATTGGATCCCGTCAAAAGTTAAACTAGGTTGGTGAAGATTTTTTAGTTGATTTTGGTGGTGAAATAATTAAAAGAGTCATTCTCTTGGAGTGATAAAAGATTAAGCTTTTAACCTACTTCCGTCAGGAGAACATTGTATTTTTCAATTATCCAGTAGTTGTTGGACTATTGTTACATAGTATGGAGAAATACAAGTCAATCACATGCTGGGTTTATAAACTTCAAAAAAGAGCAGTTCGTGTAATTTCTTAATGCAACATTAGCTAATAGTCGTTTGGCATGGTATCTTGCCCACATATATTCATACTTTCTAGTAATCTTTATGTATTTTAAGTGAGATGATGAGACCGATCTGACAAGTATAGTACACGATTTATGCATTTGTAAATGGAAAACATCTATGGGTCAAAGGACGTTTCATTACAGACGAGTAATGCTATAGAATAACTTGCCAACTCATATTAGCAATTCAGCCGCATTAGGAAGAAAGAAAATATAGAAATTAATACAGTATTAGTATTATATTTGATTAGTATCGAAAAGTACAACGTATCAAGCCTCCTTTTAAAGTTTAATACGCTGGTAGCATAGTGGTTGTCGCATCAGACTCATGATCGGTAGACCCAAGTTCAAATCCTACCTTAGGCTGAACATCAAAAGGGTCGACCCCTACCCTGGGTGAGTGTACCACAGATTCATTGGGAAGGCCAATTCCACTGGCCGAGATTCATTCACTGACGAATGCGACTTTGGGGGAACCTTGGTTTAGGTTCGCAGGTGCTTGTGTTCGACCGGGCCTGGTTGACGATAGGATAGTGCATTACAAATTGCCATTTGACAGAGAGATGGCCAAACAGCCCTGTCATGTAATCCTAAACATGAATATGACTTCTGTGGCAAAATGCACTAGGTGTCGTCACTAGCACTTGCAATTTGCACATACAAAAAAAAAGTCAGGAGAGACAACAGTGGCACTGAATGTCCCGGAACTGTTTAATACGCAACTGTAATGTGACGCATATAGGAATAATTGCTTTATCGACGTCAAGGAGTATCCAACCATGCACAGCTTATTCAAATAGTATAATACATCTATTCAATGAGCATGCATGTGGATTATATGTCGATGATGACCTACCACAGTGTTCGTCCATCTTATTGTTACACTAGTATATTACGTATTTATGAGATGCATACGTGTTTTCAACGTTTAACGTTAACTCAGTTTCTAGGTTTTATGTGAAATGAGACATGTTTTTTATTCCAGTTGGTTCTGAATACAGTAAGATTTTTTTTTTTTAAATCGAACAGTTGTCCAAAAATTTTTAACATGCTAGAATTCCCAAAGCACTGATGAGAACACTACGATACAGACTTGGAAACAAAACAACTGATTTTTACAATAAAATTAAGAACTATATTTATGTCATGACGAAATATTTCATATGCAGACCAATGATATTTTCCATAATTACTGATTATACAAGAATATTACAGAAAGAAAATATTTCGCTCTATTTTATATTTTTGCATGATTTTAAATAATTTCCAATTAAAGCAAAAATTATTTTAGATACTAACAAGATTTTGATTCTGCACAGGACCTTACATATCTAGACCAGACATATCTATATCATATCTATATTAAACTGGGTCAAAAACAGAAATAACAAAAAATAAGACTAATCTCAACATTAGAATGCCAAACGCACAGAGAATCTGTAAATATAATGGAAATAAAGTGGAATGTTCATAATAAAATTGACACATGATGCTCAGTATCAGGAACTCCCCGCGAGTATGTAAAATAAACACAAAACCATCAAAAAAGCATAGAAGTTACAAAATAAAATTATAGAGATAGAGTAAAACATTAAAAAGGGACTGAATGTTTGGCGACGACTAGTTTAAATTGCTTTTATATTGACCCCAGGCGTACACGCATATTACTAAAAACGATTACATCCCTGAATTACTACAGTATACTGGCACAAATGTTCTCAAATATGTATGTTGTCAGAATCCTTTGTTCTATGTTTGTTATATTACCTAAAACCTTGCAAATTGAAGTGTGCATGGAATCATGGAAAGAAACGGTATGCATTGCCATGTGATAACTGTCATAAAGGTGATTGACAGGTCATACGTGTTTACAACTCTTGAGGGACAATTGTAATCTACCAGGTGTGCTAGTGATTTACATAACAACTGATGACGATCTACTGATTTGCCTACGTGCATGTCTTCGTGAAACAGCTGCTAGTAAGACCACATTCTGATTGGCTCCTGTGGAAACCTAGGTGGTGTACCTGAAAGTAGGCCATTTGAGCTCTATAAATAAGCTAGATTGGGGATGGTTGTGGTTCACCATTTCAAAGAAGTACTATGTGTGTTGCTACTACGATATTGTGAGACAAGTGATACAGGCTTCAATCATGAATCTGTGAAACTTGTATGAACTGCCCCTTTGGTGTCCTCCAGAATAACAACGTTCCTCTGCAAGCAAACCTCCTGTATCTCTTCGTCCTTGTATTGCAAGAAGCCATTGACTGTCATCAATTTCCACACCCTAGAACTGTGAGTTATCACTAATGCACATCCCCCAGACAATACCCTATTTCATTGAATTTATGCATTGTATTATTGTGTTTTTTGTTTCTTTCTTTTGTTTCAATTATTTTGAGAAGTATTAAAGCAAAGAGCTTTAACTTGATATTTTAGTGTGTGCGTAGTTCATTTCCAGTTCTAATGTCTCGTTTACCCATTCTACCAATGAAAGAACACCCTGCCAAGTGTGAGTTGTGGATATCCCTCTCAATATTAATAAGCAGGCCCTACCCGTTGACATGTGTATTTCTGGTAGTTCTTGGCGACAACCAATATTGTCGTGTTGTAAATTGGCACTGTAGCTACATTGTTTTTGCTTAACAATTTCTCACTGTATATATAGTGGTCAAACACGTGCTAAGGGATATTAGAGGCTGATACCGATTTTAAAATATACTACATTGAAAACTGCATAGAGATAGAAATAACAAAATGACTGATATAACAAAATACACACCTAATGGAAGCTTTGACATTCCATTAAATCAAATCTGTGGAATCACCAGATCGTGATGCTATCATCAATGACATACTTAAGTTCTCAAATTCTTCACTAATAACCTGCTTCAGGAAACTTTTCAACCAGATCTATCAAATTGTGTTTTTCCATCTGAATTGAACACCAGCTCATAGAGGTATTGCATCTCCAAAATTTATATCAAAAGCAAAATCAAAACTTCCAAAATTTATATCAAAACTTCTGAATATTAAACAAAATACAACTATTTTTAGATTACATGACATGACAAATTCAATTTTGAAAAAAAAAACATCGTACCACAAATATTAAAATCATTAACGAATAAATATGTCTACAAAGCAGAAAAATCTCATCTTGATGCTTGCATTGTTGATCTGCGGTAGGCTTTTTATAGTGGAGTTTCAAGAAAAGTGTTGAACTAGATAAGATCTATGTACTCTTTAAACAAACCAAATCAAAACTGTTAATTTATTCCCACCATCTTATGGAGTGAAAGAAGGCCGACAAGTAAGTGAATAATTTATCGTGCAGTAGTTTGTGTTTAGGTATGACGGATGAAAAACGTGTATTTTTGGAGTTGACATCTGTAAATGTGGTACATTTGCACGATTCTCAAAATGAAGCTCACATCTGGTTGTTTCATGTGATATATATATATATATATATATATATATATATATATATATATATATATATATATATATATATATATATATATATATATATATATATATTGTTGTCGAAAAACAAAACAATCAAGCATATGATTCGAACTAGCATACTTATCGTATGTTACACACACTATATAATTAAACACAATGAGTGTAAGAACATAGGTTTGCTATTGAGTATTGTGTTTATTAGTTTTTCTAATATTACTATATTCCATGACTGATATGTATTGTGCCATTCGTTATACCCATGGACTTATGCATTCTCCCATCCCATCAAAATCAGCACGCGGATATATTCTTGACTGGGCAGGCACGGACTGCTTCGAAAAGTTATGAAGCTTTGCAAGCATTTCAATCACAATATGCTGATTCATCTCTGACAAATCAGTTGTTTCAGTTTCATCGTCTTCTATGTTATATAGTCGCACCATACGTGTTGAGTCGAAATCAGGATCCTCTACTATTCTATGGTCGGAGTTTATCTCTTGGGGTTTAACCCAATCACTTGGTCCTGACATACACAAAAAGTAAAAATATTAATAAATAAATAATTTGTGATGATATCAAGTCTGATTGCTTTGATACTATACATATAGGTACCTCAGGTAAACCTCTCTCACATTTGTTCATTTTGTGATGATATCTTCAATTGTCTAATTTTGGTGAATATGTTTGTAATTTTTGTTAAAAAGTGATATTTTGGAATTCTTGTTGAAAATTCGTTTGCTTTGATACTATATATATTGTTCATTTTCTAATGATATCTTTAGTTCTTTAATTGAAATGTGCATTGCTAACAGTGGGGCTATCTCAGCAAATAGGCTGCTTGTTTCATTTGAGAAGGTTTGTCTGCATATGAATATTTCGCACTCAAAATATTGGAGACGGATAATATTGATAAGCACTCACCTCCAATTGGTCCAGTCAATAACTTCCATTTTCCCATTTTTATCGCTGCATGTGTTGTTATGTCAAAAGCATTATTCTTATATATACCAGTTCTATAGTGTGCACCTGCTTTATTATCTTCCTCAAGTGTAATCAACACATCGTCGCGCCCAGATTTGTCTTCACCTCTGTAAGATATCAAAGTGGGATTTCGTATTGTATGACTACCCAATTATTACACTGTAGTTTGCCATGCCTTAGTTAAATTTTGTGATAATATACCACCTCACTGAATACTGGCACAACTACAACAACAGCAACAGCGGGAAACACTATACACAGTTTTACGCAAATGAAAAGAAAATACAGGATTGATACGTAAGTGTGGCACATACGTTATCATATTCCACTGATCAACTCCGTATAGCTTCTTTCCGACATGTGGATTGCCACCAGCCAATGTTATTAAAGTTGGGAACCAGTCTGTGATATGCATTAGACCCGTATTCTCGGTACCTCGTGAGTGACAAGGAAGCAAATCACCATAAACGAATCCAACAGCTCTCACACCTCCTTCCCAACTCGTATGCTTTCCTCCTCTCAGGGGCCAGTTGTTGCCAGCAGAACCTACCAAAGCCCCGCCATTGTCTGTAATGTTGTATGGTTAAACACTAAATTAGGAACAAACATTTTGAACCTCACTTGAAAATGTATACGAACGTTTAGCTGGATAATGAAACTGAATGTCAAGCAATAAATTTGATGAGAAACAATGATTTCCGACCTTCCGTAAATTTGCTAAGCTGATTCTACCAATTGTCTATCAACATAAACAGATTCGTCGTGTAACGGAAGGAATAAATATGATAAGAGGGTTGTATCACAAACAATCATTATGTATATTACTTTAATATTTATTACCGGAAGTGAAAACGATTATACTGTTTTTTAACATGTTCTTCTCTTCAAGTGCCTCAGTGATATTCGCGATAGCCTCGTCTACACATGATGTCATTGCTGCATATGTTCGTCTGTCCTCGTCATGAATAGTTGACTCGTATTGTTTCAAATACGAGGACGGAACCTCGAGAGGTGCGTGTACCGCAGAAAATGACA